ACTAACTTATCAGGTGTTTGTTACTCGTATTATATTAAAATATAATTAAATTTTAAATAGTATATATTACAGAATTGATATTATACTTAAAAAGATTTTAATTATATTTATCATAATTTATATTAATAAAATATTATAATGATATTTTAAAAGAATTTGATATTATACTTAAAAAGATTTTAATTATATTTATCATAATTTATATTAATAAAATATTATAATGATATTTTAAAATAATGATTCATGATGTGAAGTGATTCTAGTTGTAAAATACATTTTCTGCTAATGAAATTTAAGATATTAAAAGCTTGTTGATATATTTTAGAAATAAATAAGTCTAGATCTAATCATATATTAGCAAAAGTTCCAGAAGAACAATTGATATAATTAGCAAATTGATCATAATATAATTTCAAGACACGTTCTAAGCAAGCCTACCACAAAAACAAAATTGAATTTTAAATGAAAGAATATTATAACTCATAATTGGAAATCGTAATATTGTTGCTTATAATAGGGACAGATCGAAGAAGACCAAAATAACTTTTCTTTTCTTAATTAAAAAAATAAAAAAGATTCTTCATCTTAGGATTAAAAAGGAAAAAGAGGAAACTTATTTCTAAGGTATAACAATATAATATTTTTTAAAATTAAATAAAAAGTGGATCTACCATACATAATTACAAATTTTGGTAGAATTTTTTGTCTTTAATTCTGATCTTAGCCATCTTTTTTTCCTCGTTCTTCAGTATCATCACAATTTTCTTGTTATCATTTTAGCTCGTATATAATATAATTTTATATTTAGATTATTGTAATAGGCATAATATATAAATGTGTCCTTTAACTTAGTTTCAAATCGCATTTATGCTCTTCAACTTTGAATGTGCACAAATGTATACTTAAATTTGTATAAAGTTGAACAAATAGACACACATATCCTATATGTCATTTATTTATCCTACGTGGTGTCCTGCGTATATTGTGTCATGTAGGACTCATGTGATTATTTATTTAAAAGCTGGATAGTTAAAGTGTCTACTTGTGCATTATGAAAGCTGAAGATCAAAATTAAAATTTAAAATCAAATTTAGGATCCAATATATGTATTATGCCTTTAATATAAGTCATACATTCATATACAAATCAGCATCAATAAGTGTATTTTTGGGAGTGAGAGTTTGTTAAGAAATCTACTTAATATATATGTAAATGATCTATATCAAATTTAGTATTCTTTTTGTAATCTCAATATATATGACACATTTTTCTTTTTAGTCTGTCTTAAAAAAAATATCAATTTTTTATAATTAAAAGCACTTGAAAGATTCCCTTCGTAGTTCGTAATGAAGTTTCCTATATCCATATTAATGTCTAAGATTTATTTCACACCATAAACTTCAAAATTTATTTTTCTTTCTAAATTATTGTGTCTAATTATATTGTGTCACATAAAATGAAATAAACCAAAATTTAAAAAAGGATTGATAGTTCAAAAATAAGAATTTTAAGTTTGTGAATCCAACTACAGAAAGCGGATTCCTCTTTTCATAAACCTTATGAAATACAAATTTAAATTAATCAATTTTTTTTAAAAAATATATACTAATATTGTACCAAAACCATAATACAAAGATGGTAGGGCAAGTAAACGGAATATATTTATTAGGGAGGAAAGTAGAAGGGAATTTCTTTAAATAAATAGTTGGAGTATTAGCTAGCTAAGGTTTTCTTTTTATTTTTTCGGGTTTGGTTTTAAAATTTACGGTAAAGTTCTGATTAAGTTTAGATTATATAATATCTACTTGTGAGACGTTTCTAACAAGATTCTCTTCATAATCACAATTCAAATTTAAAATTTCTAATTATATTACAAATGAAACAATTCTATCACTACGACCCGACCCAGGATAGCTAGCTAAGGTTGTTTGAAAGAAAGATGGCATAAGAGATGGAGTTGGGTAAAGGTGAGGCTGGCGCACATGCAATTGAGCCTTTTCATTTCTTGTTTTTTTTCTTTTTTTGGGCCCTCTATTTATTCTCTATGCTTCAATAAAGCTTAGCACATGTTTTCTCCTTTGTCTTAAGACTTTCTTTAGAAAAATAAATTTTAAAATCCTAATTTGCCAGATATGTTTGTTTTTGGATGTTTTAGCCACAAGGGGTGGTAGGGGTGTGAAAATTTTAAAATAAAATTAGAATTAAAAAAAAGTGTGATTTAGAGTATCAATTTGAGAAGATGTATGTTGACTTTGGAATAGTAGTTAAAACTTTGGAGGAGTAATATCTTTAATACCTAATATCTTTGTCACTAAATTTTTTTTATTTTTCATTTACTATCTGATATGTATATTATCGTCTGAATTTGAGCTCTCATTTTGAAAAAAATATTTTCGATTAAATTTTTTTACATGAATCAAGATTTCTAATTAATTATCAAGAAAATAAATAACTAATCTAAGAAAAAGTTTCATTATGTCAACAATCCTTCCTCAACTAAATGGAGTTGACCTTAGATGCATCCACAAGAGAGTAGTACCAAGTATCATATATACAAATATTTTTTGGTGACATACAATTAGTATTGCTCTTTCTTAGATTTCATCATAAGACAAATTAATTAAGTACTAATTAAATACACCTTTTGCATGCACCAAACCCCATGACTTGTTGTTTACCTTAAATTGGATGTGAAAAAATTAAACCACGTGAATGTTCAAGTATTCTCTTATATAATAAGAGACACTTAGTGGTCAGAAACATCGACATTGATGTGCCTGCTTTAACGTCTTTTTGAAAAAAATAATATTAATATTTTTTTAAAAATTAATTAACGTATAATTTTTTTGAATTTATGAACTCTTTTTTAGCTAAGACTTTTATAATTCACATGCTTGTTTCAACGTATTTCGAAAAAAAATTGAACTTTTGTTTAACTTTAATTTAATTTGTGTATAATTATTTCAAAATTATAGAATTTTTTTCAGCTCTGACTTTTAGTTCTTCGTCGACGTGTCTGCTTCAACATGTTTTTGAAAATTAAAAATTTACTTCTTTTGTTATACATAATTTAATTTAGTGTATAATTTTTTCGAAATTATGAAATCCTTTATAATTATAACTTTTCAAATCGATGTTCCTCTTTCAGTGTGTTTCGAAAAAAAATCAAATAAATTATTTCTTTTGTTCTACTTTAATTTAATTAATGTGTAATTTTTCTCAAAATTATGAAATCCTTTTTAGCTGTGACTTTTAGTTTAAGTTCAAGATTTTACGCTGAAACACGCACGTCTTCGTCAACGTGCCTATTCAGCGTGTTTTAGAATTTCTTTTTAAAAAATAACTTTTTATTTATACTATAATTTAATTAGTTTATAATTTTTTTCGAAATTATGAAATCTGTTTAGCTATGATTTTTAGTTTTAAATTCTTATTCTTTAATTACTGCTTATTATTTTGAATGTCGGTAATATTTGTTATATCTTGTAACTATTTTGAGTAAAAAAAAATCACGATTGATGACAAAAAATACTTGTTATAGATATTTTAATGAACCTCTTCGCAATAAATTTGCTCAAACTAAAAATAATTAACCACTTGTATACTTAAAAATCATATTAAATTTATTTAACTATCTAAATAAAACATATATTTCATAAATAAAAATAAAATAATACTAAGATATTAGACCTGGCACCAATATCTAATATATATATATACACACACACATCATACTTAGACATTTACATTAAGCAATTTTATGAACGTTTTTTATTTGTCTCAGCAAAACTAAGATGCATGATTATGAGTTTATGACATGTATATAGAGTTAATAATGTGAAGATATATATCAAATATTAATTTTTTATATATTATATTTGAACTGAAATTGCAAGGTATATTTTGAAGATAGTAAACTATAAAATCAATTTCTAGCTTTGTGTTTAAGATATTCAAAATTTATAACACATAGAGAAAGAAAGTAAATTTAGCTAAGGGATAAAATCAAATATGAAGTATTTGCATAGTATATATATATTAATTAAGGGAAAAGATTCAAATATACAATCAAATTTTTAAATTTTTTTTTATATTATCCGTCAAAAATTTAGTTAATAAGGTTATTTTGTTAAAGAAAAGGCTTATTCATATCGTCCATGTCATTCTTTTAACTCCGATTTTATAAAACTATTTTTTACATTCTGAATAAGGTTTAACATTTTTCAACTGGAGTTTTTGAATCAAATGTACATCTTTTGCTTCTTTTTCATTGAAAACACATAAAATATATCGATAACTCTCAAATTTTCAACATCTTTAATTCTTTACGTAATCATCACAACTATCAACTATATGTGTTATCGTTCATTAAATTAGTGGACATAAGTTATGACCTAATTAATTCTTTAAGTTAATATATATTTGTTTATTTATCATTAGATTCGAGAATAATAAACAGAGCACAAGAATTAAGTCAGATAATTTAGGGAACATCTAGCTATAAAAGATAAAAGTTCCTTGGCTCTTTTCTTATCTTTTTGTTACTTTTTGCCTTTTTTTTTCTTTTTAATTATTTTACCCTTTAATTAATTACTTTTTGTTTACTCATAAAAAAAAAGTTGTCATTGTTGTCTCCTTTAAAGTCTCATCATACTGTTTATCTCATAATTTTCAATTAATTATTACCAAAAAAAAGGAAAAAAACAACAATAAGTGGAGCCTAACAAACAAAAAGCAAACTCAAAAATAGTTGCCAACTTGCTTAATCCATTATTCCAACAACAAAACAATTTTATTTTATTTTTAAAATTAAAAAATAAAAACCCTAATCAAAAACTATAACACGTCACTCATGACATAAACGATCCGACAACCCGAGCCCAACCCGTTTAATCATTCACTTCCACGTGGCAAAATCCTTGCCGTTTAATAAACACCTCAATTATCCAACACACTCTTCACATATTATTTCATATATAGCATGCTTTCTCATGCTTATTATACCCTTCTTCTTACACTTTCATATTCACATTAAAAATCTTTAAAAAAAAAGAAAGTATTTTTATCGTAATTCAGAAGAATTTTCACGTAAAATTTTTAATTCTCAAGAGAAGTATGACAAGCGTGTTGGGTGCGGAGTGTGACAAAATCCGATTGGATTATGAAGCGGAGACGGAGCTGAGGCTCGGATTGCCCGGAGCTAATGGGAATGAACTGGAATCGAGTAATAAGAACAATGGCAAAAGGGTCTTTTCAGAAACTGTTGATTTGAAATTAAACCTTTCTAATTCAAAGGATTCCACATTAATGGATAATATTAATATTAATCAAGTTGATAACATGAAGGAGAAGAAGAATAATATTGTTGTGCCAAGCTCTAATGATCCTGCTAAGCCACCAGCCAAGTAAGTTAATTACTTTTGTGTTATTCTTTAATCATGTTGATTAATGGTTCCAAGTAATTAATATTTGTTGTGGTAGTAATATCTTTATGGTGATGAAGTTTAAGTTTCTTGAGTATGCTTAGAACCAATAGTTAGACGGAGCTAGAAGCCTATATAAATTTGTCTCAATTTAATATAGTTTTCGTTAAAATAATAGATTTTAGTTAGAAATGCATTGAATATATATATAAATATTAGTATGTTTAGGTTCTATTAGTTAATAGTTGAAATAGTTATTTCAACACTCATAAAATTGAAATCTTGATTTTTTATGTAGTTCTTATATATTTATTGAACTCTTACAATATATATTGCAACATAAAAGGATTCATTTTCCTTTTTTTTTTTAAGTTTAATTGTCTCTTTTTATATATTTTTTGTTCTCATGCCAATTTTATTACTCCTTTTTTTTTTGTTGTAAATTACTTAATTTGCATTGTAGATCATGCTAATTGAATATATATCCTACTAATCTACGTTAGAGATCAAATATTGAATTAAGAAAGAATTTTGGGTATGCTACAATAATTTTTTTTTAATTAATAGTATAATGAAGGCGGAGCTAGACTTTTGAGTTAGAAAGATTTTTATAATTTTGTTCGAATTTTATTTTATATTTGTATTAAAATTTATGATATATATATAGGAAAAAATATTGTACTGTAACGTTGTTTCGTATAAGAGTATAATTGCTTTAAAAGAAATAATTCTTTTTTAAAAAAAATTATTTAAAATGGAAAAAAAAAAATCTAAATGTTAGGTGTCAGTAGTGGTAACCTATCTTTTTGAGAATTTTGGAATTTAGGATATGGCTGTGGTTGTGTCTAGATGATGGCAGAAAAAACAAAACATTTGGAATCTTTTACTTTCATCACCCAACATTTTTAGTGGAAAACACATGGAACTTTTTATTTATTACTATAAACCTTTTTCAAAATGTAAATTAATTATTTTTATAAAAACAAATCTAGAGGTACTTTACAGAGTATTTCTTTGTTACCTTTTGGTGAGACAACGCATGTGTGCGCTTAAAAAGATAATTATAATTTCATAAATGCTACTCCTAGCTAAATACTTTATTATAAAAATTCTTACTTTATTAAGTTTTTTGAATTTTGGACTTTTACTTTTAAGATATTATTTATTTTATGAATTTTCAGTGCTAAATCATCATCATGAGTAAATAAATATGGGGATTTTTAATAATAATTAATTAAGTGCATGGGACTAATTAATTTTTTAATTATTTGCTTAACTTAGGGCACAAGTTGTGGGTTGGCCACCAGTGAGATCATTCAGGAAGAATGTAATGACTGTTCAGAAAAACACCACCGGCGCCGGCGAAATCTCCGGCACCGGCACCGGCGCAGCCTTTGTGAAAGTTAGTGTTGACGGTGCACCATACTTACGTAAAGTGGACTTGAAGATGTACAAAAGTTACCAACAACTCTCTGATGCACTTGGCAAAATGTTTAGCTCTTTTACTATTGGTAAATATTGATTCTTTCGTTTTAATTTATTTATTATATTATATTGTGAAGTTTTAACAAAATTTAATTTATTTGTCATATTATATTGTGAAGTTTTTAAAAAATAATATAGTAAATGAATATTATTATTATTGGGCATTTCATATCTTTGGTAGTGGGAAGGTTTTTGTCCATTAAAATTATGGAAGTGTATTATTTTTCTTTTCATTTTGTCTTGATGTGACAATTATTATTCCTTGAAATTTGTGTAGGAAATTGTGGGACTCAAGGATTTAAGGATTTCATGAATGAGAGCAAATTGATAGACCTCTTGAATGGTTCAGACTATGTACCAACTTATGAAGACAAAGATGGTGATTGGATGCTTGTTGGTGATGTACCTTGGGAGTAAGTTTCTAAATATGATAGTGATAAAATATTATATCTTTTATTTAGTTATATAAATTGAATGATTAATTTTATTTTCTTAATTTTATTATAGGATGTTTGTTGATTCATGCAAACGTTTACGGATAATGAAAGGATCAGAAGCTATTGGGCTAGGTAAATTAATACATTTTTTCTATTTTTTATCTCGTTACGTAAATATTAACTTTTTTCCTTAATTTTCTTTTTCAAATTATGTCACTAACATAAATATAATTAAACTTTATGCAGCACCAAGAGCAGTGGAGAAATGCAAGAACAGGAGTTAAACTTGATGTTCCAATTAATTGTTCATTGTTTTTTTTTTCCATGGTCAAATTATATATTGACCTTGGAGTTTCTAAATGTATTGTAATTTGAAGGGTTTATATATATAATATAAGGGGGAAAAAATTAAGAAAATGTTTATCCATGAGAAGAAAAAAAAATATATATATATATATATAGATCTAAATAGTTGTCAAGTGTGTGACAGCCTCATATTGGTTGGAGCCCAATTTTGGGAATCTTTAGAATTTATATTATATTGTAAGTGTGGCCCTATGTGTAAGTGACACTTGAAATTATCTAATAAATTGAAGACAAGTAACATGGACATATTTAAAGTTATTGGGAGGCAAGGCCATGTGCTTTGCTAATGGGGACAAACTTATAGGGATCACAATTATTTCAATCACTAGTGTTTGTTGGGCATCAATTATTTATTTTGTGAGTGGCCAATTGGCCATACCCCATTATTTCAATTTGATACATTTTAGAGGTCTCATATGTCACTTCTTGTTATTTAGATGAATGCTCAAAATACATATTAAAAGAAATATAGAGATGAAAATGTGAAGGGTAGTTGCAATATTTTTCATTGGCTATGTTCACATTAATTCGAATCTATATTAAATTCATGAAATATATGTCAGATCTCGATCAATAACAACTATTTAATTATTATTTGTGATGATAACTTTGAGAGAAGGAGAGATAGTAATTGATGATGGCTTTTGAGGTGCAATGTATCAATACAGTGGAGTTATTATTATTGAGATATTTTAATTGATACCCTTTCATTTGAAAAATTAGGTTATACAAATAAGTAAACAAATATATACTTGTTGAATTTTTTAATATTTCTTTGTGAAAATATTATTACTTAGTTTTTGACATCTACAAAAGAGAAATTTCATTTCAGATAACCATATTTCTAGTAGACAACGTTTACCATGAGCTACAAGAGAAGTTAAGTTAGCAATTTTAAATATATCAAAAAGTAGCTAATTTAGGCTATGTTTTAAATAGAACCACTGAGTGGCTACCTTTTATAAGACTGTCTTAGAATTTCTGAAGCCCATTAATAGAAAAACTTTTTTAAAAGGCCCTGTCTAAGTAAGTTCATTGACCCATTGGGCTTGAGCAATGTGGTAAATCCATAGGATTTATTGATTAACAACTTGCCTTTTTTGATTAACAAATGCAAGTAAATTAGGTCTAATCACATTTCTTTTCTTTTTCCAATAAAATCCAACAATGTAAACAAGGAAGTAGTAATTTTATACAATAATAATTAAATTAAAGTTGTTTGCTTATATCTGGATCTTAAAATTTTGAGCATGACTATTTTGCCAACTCTCTTCAAAATCTGTGTCTCCAAAAAGAATGGTGATTTGAACATCTTATGTAACGCTTACCTTTGTTTATTACACAATAACTTAGTCTCTATTAATATTTTATGTTTATTGATGATAACAACACAATAAAATACAATGCAATGCAATATAATGTATTGTCCATAATACGTTAAGTTGATACACCAAAACAACTATGAAAATACTTATCTAATTTTAGTAAATTGGACACCCTTATTCAAACAACACACAACACTGTAACATATACACTTAATAATACACTCTTAAAATATAAAGAACACATATAGGTGTTTGCTTTTATTTAGCACTTAACAAAATCTAGGGATCGTTTGGTTGGAAGCGAGTTATTTACGATTAGTTATTCTGAGATAATGCATCTTATCATTTTGATATAAATGATGGGATAAATTTTTTCGAACATGATAACTAGGCAAGAATATATATTAGCTATCACTATTTATTTTTATTTATCACACCAAACCAAACGACCGACGAGGTGGGCACTAGCTAGTTCTTTTTGTTTAGGGGTTAAATTTTACTTGCGGAAAACATAAGGAGTTTTAAGTTTAAAGATTCTCACTTGTGCCCAACCCATCGTCTTCTCTTGTGCAATCGAAAATGCAGCAGGTGAGTCTACTAAACCCTAACTTATACCGTTTCACCATTGGAGCTTTCCTCTAAGAAATACTTATCATTGTTGATTCTGTGGAGAAGGCTGGAACTTCGGGGTCCGAAGTGGAGGTAACATGGGAGGATCAGCAGAATATTAACAAATTTGGCAGATTGAATAATCGTCTTCACGAACTCAATGATGAAATCAAGGCTGCCAAGGTAAATGCCTTTTTTTATTTTCCCGTTTTCCCTCAGCATTTCCACTTTCAGTAGTTTTGTGTATATATTTGCGGTTCAAAATTGGATGGGCGAAAGGAAACCGGATGCAGTATTTGAATTAGGATCATTCATATTCATTCCAATTTCCGATTCACTATGATAATTGGAATAATTTGTTACTTCAAGACTTATTAAGGGTTCATTTAAGTTAGAATTTCTATTAATATGACGTTTGTTTCGTATAACTGACAAAATTTGAGCCTTAATTCCATCAAGTCGGTATGATCGATACTTAATTGTTGATCCATTGCTTTGATTGTGTTGTATTTAGTTAAGTGCACCTTTTTTTCATAGACATTTTAGGTCTTTTATGACAACCCTGTCTACATGTTTGAGGTCTAGTTTGTTCATTTTATCAGCTTCAATCATTATAATGTCACACCTATGAACGGGCACACATAGAAGTCTGCTCATGACATGTCGAATTGTTAAAAGGAGGTGATTTTGTAGAAAATTGTTGGTTCTACATTCAACATTCTTCATGTGTATGAAATTCAAACTTTTATAAGCTTTCTTGTTTGCTTTGAGGACCATATACTTTGATAATGCTCTCTTCAGTGTCTTGTTCATGTTCAATACGTTATTCCACTTTATGTGACAATCTTACTATTTAGTTTGTTTGCTTAATAGTGGTACCTCTCTATATTTTGAAGTAATTTACTTTAAAGATTTAAATTTTACCCTTAATATAATGACTTTTAATAGCCACATAACTTCTATAAATTTTTTAAGGCTATAAGTTGAAAAAAGTTTTTATCTCTTAAAATTCTCGCCCAGTCAATATGTTCACACAAAATCAGGCAGAGGGAGTACATGAATTCAAGCAGCGATAATTTTTTTCTAGCCAATGAAATGCTCAGTTTCCTCTATTTGGCTCTTGAATCATGAGCAGCACAAAGTCCTTCACTGTCCACTATCAAATTTATAAATGTGTCTCCTCTTTAACATTTTAAACTTTTGACGAGATGGTTCACATAATTTAACATGGTATTGGAATTTTTTTGTTCTATAGCTGAGTCTGTCCCTCTTTTTTTTTTTTAACAAATCACATCTTCTTGATGCATTTTCTATAAAATCTATTACTTCATAAAAAAAAAAACATTGTATTGGAGTTGTTTTTATTTTATTTTTATAAAGAAGTAAGGAAGTACCATTAGAGGCATCAAGCAGACGCATAAGCAAAGTACAAAAGAAAGATTGTGACTACTCCAATTAGAGTAGTTATAGAGAACTAGAGATACTGGTTCAGAGTCTCATCACCAATTGTCAAAATATTGCTATGTGATTGGCCGAAGAAATGATTCGGATTTGCGTGTGAGAGGACATGTTGGTACCTAGAATACGTAAGGTAAAGTGCAATTACAATTGAAATAATTTCCCAAACAAACTTTTAGATGTGCATCTAGCGCTATCCCACCTGCATGGCAGTTGACTTTTGTAAATATGTGCAAAAGTAATGGTTAGAATATATATATATATATATAGAGATGTGATACCAAATCTATAATATGAATTAGTATAATCATGAATCATATGATTCTTACAAGTTGCTGGAGTTTCATCTTCTTAAAGATATCATTGGAACAATCTAAACTAGGAAGTGGGTCAAAATAAATATCAAATAATATGGTGGGATGGAGTGAGTACATTAAAACTGTGAGGTTCATCAAAGCGTTCTTTGTGACTGTATGGACAGACTTCTACTTTGTTTAGTATTCATTGAGGTTATTTTCATTATCTGGAAGATTGAACATTTACATTCTAATTTTAGAAGAGTATGGGCTAAGAAAGGAAGGAAAAATTGTTCTCCTAAGCTAATGAGCAAGTGTTTTCTCATTTTACCTGTAAACCTCAGTCATAGAAGGCCCCTTTTTATGTGTGTAAGATAAATAAACAAAATGACTAGTTCCAGTTAACACACCGAGTCTCTGATTTATTCATGTTCTCTCATTCTGTATGTTTAGATTTTTTCAAATGCATCTACGTGCTAATGCAGAAAAAAGTTCTCAGGTAATATCAGAATAATGCATGGTTTTGGTTGTTATGATGATACATATTCAAAAGCTTATAAATGAGGGAGTCCATGAGTAAGCAAAGTTCAGCCCCAACATTTTGATGTACTCAAGCTATGAGTTTGCTTGTATTATGGTGAAGTGCAAAAAAATATATTAATTAGTGTGTACAGGTAACAGTGAATCTTCGATCGGAAGATCTCCTTCTTTGCCTTGAAAAAATGAAGGTTAAAGGTGGTTAAGTGCGAGTGTTGATTATATCAGGTGTTCAGCATAGGAATTTTGGAGGAAAACAGTTTTGGGTGTAAATATTATAGACTTGCTGCAGGTGATGGAGTGATCATAGAGAGAGAAGACCCTTAGGCTACTACGTCTTTTACACTGTTTGTCAAAAGTAAATGCCATACTCATGAACAAGCTATATGAAGAAAACTGCTAATCATTACAATCTTATGATGGTTTGCTTGGTAGTTGAAACCAAACTTAGTGGCCTGGATTTGAAATTCATCCAGGGCGGTTTATGCTGCCCCTCATAAGAAGATGAATTTGAAAATTTGACCTCAAGACCCAATCAGAGTTACCTATTCGCATCATACATATGTATGTGTATAGATATTCGATCCAGAGATTCCAGAACATCTTTTAATAGACATTTAAGCATATGTCATGAACCCCAAGGAGAATAAGCCTAAGAACTGGAACACCTAAGTTTTAAATATTTACAATTGATTGCTTGAGATGGAAAATGTCTATATTACCATCAGTCCAACATGTTTTCACTAGACTCATATCGCAATAAATATATGTGTCTACCTTGCATATTAAGTTATTAACTATTATAAACATGTATTTTGTCCGCGAAACAGAATGGTATGATAAAACGCCATTGGTCCCAGACCCTTCTAGATTTATATTTAGGCCAGGTTTGATTACCTGTATCAATAAATTTACATACATTTTGTATTTTTCCAAGGTCAATCATATTTACGTTTGAAGAATAGTTATTTTATCGCTTTGACATAAAAATCAGCTGATAATATTCTTG